CTTTTTTTTTTTTTTTTTTTTTTTTTTTTTTTTTTTTTTTTTTGTGGCTGCCCCAGTGCCCTACATTGCCTGCGTAGCAAAAACACATTTGCCCTGCTCTCTCCGTTGAGTTTTGCTAGTTGGCGTGGTCAGATTAAGTTTCATTTTTGCGGGTCCCCCCCTCCCCATACACCCCCCCCCCTCGGTTTTAAACTCCCCTTTTAAATTTATGGGTAGATCATTCAAGGTTTTCCTGAGCAACTACGTGTACAGGTAATGGGGGTTGCCTTGGTGGGCGCGGCGCGTCTCCAATGCGCGATGTGTATTACTCTATTATTACGCCGCTTCCGTCTCCCCCCCGCAGCTGCTCCGAATGTGGGAATCACCTGTCAGACCCCACCGAGTTAGTGTCAACGTCCTTCCGCGGGAGGACAGGCCCCGCGTGGCTTTTCTCCAATGTTATAAATGTGTGCGAAGGACAGTACGAAGACAGAATGATGACCACGGGCCAGCATACCATCGTCGATATTTATTGTAACAACTGTAGAAACAATGTGGGGTGGAAATATGAGGACTCCTCGGAGGAATCGCAGAAGTATAAAAAGGGAAAATACATTTTGGAGAAGGCTCTGCTTTCCTTTTTGGTTATAGACCAGCACGGGAAGGAGCATGAGTTTGAGTTGAAGTCGTCTGACTGTGATTTTTGACGGCTGGTCGGCAGGTAGCCACGATTACGAATGTAGGACTCTGTCCCTCCCTTTTCCGTATTGGATGGAGAGGCATATATAGCTCTACACAGCACTGCACAACAACTCCGTTTTTTTCACTTTTTTTTTTTTTTTTTTTTTTTTTTTTTTCACTTTTGTCCGCTTTTTTTGTTGCTCCTTTTGCACATGTGATTGCTGATACGCGCTTGCACAAAAGTACGCGACCTGTACAAGTGCGTTTATTTTATTTATTTATTTATTTTTTTTTTTTGTTGAATAATTTTTTTTTTTTTTCCCTCCGCGTTTTAGCGACAATGATTTTAGGGACAACTTAGCGACCATTTTTTTTTTTTTTTTTTTTCATTTTTAATCATGTACAATGGAAAGGAGACAGGGAGATCGAGAGAGAGAGAAGACTGCTCGCCACATGTGGCTTCCAGGGGAAGGCGTGAAAAGGTGGAATTGGCATAAAAAAACGTATATATAACGTTATTTTTTTGGGGGGGGAGGTGCAATTTTGCGCGACACACTTTTCATTTTAAGTGGTCATATTTTTTGGGTGACTTTGTGTGGTATATGCTGCTTGGCGGCTATACCTCAGCAGGAGAAAGGAAAAATGTTATATGTTTCAAATAAAAGTTGGAGAGAAAAGGAACTGAGACAAAAAAAGCTTTTTAAACAAACAGGCGCGCAGCGGCCTGGAATGCATGCAATTGCCGATGGCGCACTTTTTTTTTGGGGGGGATCTTGTTCGTTGGGCCATCCAAGCGCGTGAAATTCTTCAACGTGGAGAAGAGATTGTGCTAACACAGCAGTCATGTCTTCTCTGCCCCGCGTTTGAGACGACGGTGTGCCCCGCGTTAGAGGACGACGTTGTGCTGCCCCTACAAGACGATGTTCTGGTCCCTGTCTGAGAGGTCAAAAAAATCGTCCTCGTAATTTTTCCTGCGCAAGTGGTGTGTGGTGGAGTGTTCCTTGGACCTGGTGCCCGCCGCGCGACCTCCGCCACTGTCATCCTTCAACTCATACTGGTTCTTATCACACTCGTCATCAATTTCAGAGTCGAAGAAATCTGGAGGCACGTAGGCAAACTGAACCCCCGGTGCATGTTCTATGTTCCTCAGATTTTCCGCAATTTTTATTTTTATACGATTCAAGTGTTCAGGAGAATTGTAATTAGGAATGCTAGATGGTTGCAGATGTAGCTGAAAATCAGGTGCATAATAATCGTAATAATCATTCAAGCTGATTTGGTCTGGCATTTCATGATGCTTGTTAAGGACAACTCCCGTTTCATATGCCCAGCACCGGGAGACATTTCTAATGGTATATCCTCCTCCACCTAAAACGAGAAGAGGCAAATTATATGACCGCACATGTTCTACACATCTTGCATGTCCCTTAATTGTTAAATTAAATCTTCCTAATCTGTCACCAGTAAGACTGTCTGCCCCGCATTGTAAAATAATGGCTCCTGGTTTATACGTTTGCACACACTTATCGATTACCACTTTGAACAGATCAACAAAGGCATCATCCGTTATACCATCGTTGAGGGGTACATTCACACTGTAGTATTTTCCATGGTGAACTCCAATATCTGTTATATCTCCTGTGCCAGGAAAGTAATCACCGAACTTATGAAACGAGACAGTCATCACTCTGTGAGTAACATAAAAAGCTTCTTCTACCCCATCCCCATGGTGCACATCTATGTCAATGTACATGACCCGTGCATGGTATTTTAACAATTCAAGGATCCCGAGGACTATATCATTTATGTAACAGAAGCCACTTGCTTCCGACATTTTTGCATGATGTAATCCGCCTGACCAATTTACACATATGTCTGCACAGTGGTGATTGAGTTTTGCTGCTCCATCTATTGACGCACCTGCACATGATTGTTGAAATTGAAAAAGGCCATCGAACACAGGACAGTCTGTGGCTTCCCCAACATTAAATCTCTTCAGCTGATATGTGAACTCACGATAATTTTCCATTGAAATGGAAGACAGAAAATCTACATACTCGTAGTCGTGGAAAAGGGTCAGTTCATTCACATCACTCTTGTGTGGTCTGTACACTTCCATGTATTTATACAAATTGTAGGACACGATTAGTGAGTGCGTCATGCGAATTCTTTGTGGCTTCATCGGGTGCCCTGCCCCGTAGTAGTAACTCCCTATGTCGGGGTCGTGGAAGTATGCCACCTTTTTACGATTCGACATGGTCACCAAAAGGGGGGCTTTAAAAAGAGGTTAAACAAAAAAAGAAATTCACGTAACGCGGGATTGAAAAAAAGAAGAAACAAAGTGCGTCCCTACATGGGGAAAGAGGTATCAACCCAGCCTTGTGCACTGTGGCCCCCTCTCACACGCTTATGTTATAAAAATTATATGATGTAGCCATCCGACGTGAACCCATATGTTTATCGCAGACCGGCACTCAACATGTCTTTTTTCCCCTTCTCAATCAAAACTTTAGTGGAAAATCTCTTCACGTAAATTAAATCCCACGGGGTAGCAAGTAGCGTGATGAGAGTGAGAAAAAAAAAAAAACTCCTATCTCCTCATACGTCAACTTGGCTGTACAGAAAAGTAAGTCTTGTCCCCCTGGTATGATTTTCTTACCGATGGATGCAACGACACATACGTGGTGGTGAAGCAGGGGCATGCAAAAATATACATTCATAACGTTGTGTAAGCGGGTTCCCTCCCATTACTCCACTTTTGTTCCCACGCTTGGTATGCAACCAATTATAAAGTAGTATGCTCTCTTGAAAAAATCACAAAAAAGAAAAACAACGAAATTTCATTGTTTAATAAAAATGGGAGAAAAAAAAAAAAAGAAGTCTTCGTAATGATAAGCTGATAAAAAAAAGAGATGAAACAAGTGGGGAAAAAAGAAAATATTCAATTTGTTTTTTTTTTTTTTTTTTTTTTT